TGATTTTTTTTTTTTGTTATTGTCTTTGAATTAAATATATGCATGGCTTAAATTCATTATGTATAGCATATAATAAATATATAATTTCTAGATTTTGCGCGTCCTCCACATGTCGTGTCATCCATTTTTTTTGGGAAAAATTTCTTTGTTGGCATGTCAAAGTCATGTTTGTGTCCATGTTCGCGCGTGTGTGTGCGTGCTTCTTAGCTTTGTCTTTGAAAAACCTAAGTGATTTGTGATTAGATCAAGAATTAATTGTACCACTTCCTAAACAATTAAAACAAACAATCTAAATCATCAAGTACGTATGAAAGTGATTTAGATTGTTCTTTTAGAAACAATAAATTGACAAAATGATTTTTTATGTGAAAAAAATCACTATCGGAGCACCTCTAATTGTGATTAAAAAACCATGGGCGAAATGCCACAAATCAATCCACTACTGAAGAAAGAAAGATTACAAATATACCAAACAAATTACCCAAACACTGTTAATTTGTCTTCAACAATCTGTATATCTTTCACCACAACTTTCGTCTCGGAATTGATCAGATTGATGTTGAATCCACAACATCCATTGTCGAACCAACGACTGCGCACAACATCTAACTCCTTCGACTCCTCTGCACTTGAATCTTTGGATTTTACTGAAGAAGGACACTCTTAAAGATGAACAATCAAATTTCTTGATGTGTGCTTATCAAAACATGAGTTTAATACTCAATCAAACATCAAGGAAAACTAGCAAAAAATAGCCGCAAAAGAAAACCCTAAAACCCTTAAAGAAGATCTCAAAAACATACCCTAGATTTGGAGCAACCTGCAGTTTTATAGCTGCTAAAATCGCGAAGTCCGCTCGAGCGTAGGAATGGACACTCGAGTAGGGATGCCAAAACGCGTGTTCTAAACCAGGATTCACGCTCGAGCCTAAAATCACACCACATAGTATTTTTTGCAGAACAAGCCAAAGTACTGCGATGGTGGAAACTTAGCTCGAGCGCCATGTTCCCCGGTCGAGCGGGAAGACCAAAAATAGAAGAAAATAACAACTCAATGAAACCCAAGTTTGTTCACGAAATTGATAATAAGTAGGGTCCTAACAATCTTCTCCTTTGTCAATTCTCGGACAAAAATTTTCTAACAATTTTTTCTATCAAACAAGCCCACTAAACATACTAACTAACACCATCGAAAGCCTCGACTTAAACAAAAATAAAAACAAAAAAATAGCAAAGCCACTGTAAAACTAGCCAAATTCAAATATGAAACACTTAGGAACATTTTGAACAATCCACTTATGGAAACAACCATACAAACCAAAACTGTGGAACCAGATAAGACAAATAGATCAAAATAAGCACAATAGCCAAATATATATATATATATATAACGAGATCTATTTCAAACATATCCCAATATCCATGCATCAAAACTTATCTGTCCCTCAAATCCTAACTAACTACAAAGCCAAAAAATCTTTATAATATCTACTCCCCTTTTTTGTCCGGGAGGAAAACACAATTTAAAAAGAAATAGAAAACAAGAGAAAAAGACTGTGCAAAGAAATATATTAGCCAAGAAAACAGGCATCATTGAGCTGGTGGCTGGGGAGGTGGCTGCATCCGAAGGAGGGACAAAATCTGGGAAAGATGAAAGGAGGATTGAGCAGTTGACTTCTTAATGCGGCTAGAAGAGGCCTCCGATGCAGTGAGCCGGGCATCGGTGGTAGTCTCAAGATTAGTAAGCCGGGCATCAAAGATATCCATTTGGCCCTCCAAGCGATCAAAACGTGAAACCATGGACTGCTTGAACTGACGCAGCTGGCTTCTGATAGAACGAGTCGGAGGAAGCTGCTCCCCCTCACCGGCAGCCTCACCTGCAGCAGCAACAACATCATACTCGGCCTCCTCGGCCAAAGGAGCATCCCCTGCACTTACACTAGAACTATCCACTCCAGAAGGGACCCCCTTGACATGAGACTGACTCTGAAAGACGGTCTTTTTGGTGAATGGGCAGGTAAGAAAAGCAAAGTCATCCTTATCAAAAGAAAGAACCTCAAATTTGGTGAGCAGACGGTTAATAAGATAACCATAGGGAAGACCTAAGTTGTTGCGCTCAAAGGCAGCTACCATTTTTTGAATAATGAGGGTGGCAAGGTCGATAGAACGGATATAAGCAATGCAAAAAAGGATAAAACCTTGTTCTTGATTGATTTCGGAGCTGTGAGTGGTAACTATAATGTTGGCACAAACAATAAGGTTAAGCAAACGAAACTGCGGAAGAAGCTTATTCTGTTTGATCAAGGAACCCTTGATCCAAGAATGGGCTATGCCACACAATGCAGTGGCCATCTCGTCAAAGTCACAGGTGGGTCGGACAGGAAAGGGATAGTGACAAGGAAAGACTTGGACGATGCCTAATAGCTCACGAATAAGGTCAGGGGTAATGGTGAGGCACTTAGACCTGACCCAGGTCTTGAAATTAGGGCCAATATCGTCAATCCCCTCAATGTTACAATAAAATTCCTACACCTAATCAAGGTTTTGACGGCCGGAGAAAGAAAGGACCAAATCTCCCCCTAAAGGATCAAACAAAGGTCGAATGTAGATGGACTCAAAGGTGTTTGGCTATATATGACGCTCTAAATGAATTGTCAAAGAGGGGTAAGACTCTCTAAACAAATTGGCTTTTTCTGCCGAGGGAAACCGGTCGGTGTTATAAGAGGAGCGAGTGGCAGTGGACTTCTGACGTTTGACGGTGGACATTGCTAAACCAAAGAACAACCTCATTACAACCACAACCATTAGTCACAAAAAGAAACAAACAAAATTAGTAACCAGAAAACAGTAATGATGAAAGACAAATGACAAATATCCAGTAGACATAATCCACTTGTAGCAAAACCGAGCAGAAAAACAACCAACGAGTAACATTTAGTAACAAAATCCATATAGGCATAATGAAAATCACAAAAAAAACAGAAGGCAATGATAATATCAACAATAAAGCCCAACAACCCATAACCCATTAGAGCACCAAACTAAAGATCCAAGAGAATGACAAACAATAATCACATTGCATACAGAAAGGCCCGAACCATCTCCATAAGAAACTCAACAGGTACAACCCACTGTGGAAGTGTGTGAACAAGTAGAAAACAACAACTAACCATGGAGGCGAAGATACCTCACCAAATACCTCAATCAGTTGAAAAAAAAACAAGACAAGTAAAAAAAACAAATAATGAAAAAAACACAAAGAGGAAGAAAGAGACAAACCAGAGATGGAAGAAGAGCACACAAAAGCAAGGAAAGTCATGCACACAAGGCAATCCAAGTCGCAAGAGAAAGGAACGGCACCGCTGAAGAAACCCTAGGAGAGAGGAAGAGTTTTTGGGAAAAAAAAAATGGACTAAAGAGTAGAGGGTTAGGTTTTTAAAGTGAACCAGTCCACTCGAGTGAGGTTTTGAACGCTCGAGCGTGAGCCTGAACACGCGTGGCTACGTTCGAGCGAGGAATCATGCGCTCGAGCACCAAAAGCACTTGCTCAGAAGTTTGTTAACTCTACAAAAATGTTAGAAGAAGGAAATCTGCGCTCGAGCATGAGAGTTTTCGCTCGAGCGGGGAAGAAAAACAACAATGACCAAATACCACCTTTTCTGAGCAATTAAAACCAACTCGTATTGGGAAATGTGACTTGAAACAAACAGAAGTGAGCATAATAGCAAGAATGTGACACTAAGATGGGATAATCGACAAACCATAAAATTGCAAACTTGCAAATCTGACATTATGAAGCACAAAATTATGAGCAAATCAGGTAAAAATTAATCAATGATCATAAGCTAAATGAGAATACATAACTCAAATGCAATCATGAGAGCTCACAAAATGAACGTGTGTGTGTGCAATCATTAAGAGGCCACAAAACTAGAGTTAATCCTTATAGTGATCGGATGGCTGGACCTCCGGCAAGAGTAACGAAACATCACAGAGAAAAGTCAAACAACTAGGATTCAAGGGGTATTTGTTGAGTAAACGCGGAGGCTACCCCTCAATCAATGAGTCCATTTTTTTTATATATTTTTTTCATTATGACTTTTCTTTTCTGTGGGCACTCACTGGTGGCTTGCACGCTCAAGAGTATGGAGACCAAACCAGAGAAGCAAGAAATCAATAAGGATGGCCTGGTTGGTGTCTCTGAGGTAGCCTTTTCCTAATGCTCGAACTTCAATGAACCGAGAGAGGAACCGTGGAAGTGAAAAACGATGGTAGATGGTTAAGAGACTCAACATCACCCATGATGTACCAATATAGGCCAATTCCTCTGAAAATGTATACGCGACACTGCTAGGGGTCCATAGAGAACTTTGATCACTTGTGCGGAAACCCTTGCAAAGCTTATCCCAAGAATGTGTATAGAATGAGATCATGAAGTCAATGAGCATGAGCATTCAGAATGAGCTATGAACAAAGAAGAACGACATCTTGCAAGCAGCATGAAAGGTGTTCATATGAGTCTAAATGCAGAGATGACAAGAATCAATGAAAATGAGATTATAGCATCCAAGTACACATAAAACCAATCACTCACACCCACTCAAGTAACAGGTAACACCCTAGTGACTGAGCACTACACCCAAGGTCTTTCTAAGGAACTCAAACCTAAGAAGATCAAGGGGTTTTGTAAAAATATCAGCTTTTTGATGCTTAGTGGGTACATGTTCAAGAACAACAAGGCCCTCTTCCACTAACTCTCGAATGAAATGATGATGAATGTCAATATGTTTGATGCGAGAGTGTTGGACAGGATTTTTAGAAATGTTAATGGCACTTGTGTTATCACAGAAGAGGGTGAGAGTGTTCTGGTCTATACCATAATCATGAAGCATTTGCTTCATCCACAACATTTGGGCATAACTACTCCCTGCAGCAATGTATTTAGCCTCAGCGATCGAAAGAGAGATGGCATTTTTCTTTTTGCTATGCCAGGCAACTAAATTATTCCCAAGGTAAACACCCCCCAGATGTGCTCTTACGATCATCAGCACACCCTGCCCAGTCGACATCAGACAAACTAGTGATTTCAGCTGTAGTGTCGGTCGAGAACCAAATCCCATAACCTAATGTCCCATTAACATACTTAATGATGTGTTTGACTGCAAGAAGATGAGACTCTTTAAGACAGGCTTGGTAATGGGCACAAACACCTACACTAAAATCAATGTCAGGACGGCTGGTTGTGAGGTACAAGAGACTCCCTATCATACTCCTATAAAGGTAGGATCAACATCAGTACTAGAGGAATCTTTAGAAAGGTGAAGACTGGTGCTCATGGAAGTGCGTGCATGTTTGCCCGACTCGAGACTGAATTTTGACACAAGGTTTTTGGCATACTTAGTCTGAGAAACAAACATACCCGAAGGAGATTGTTTAATTTGAAGACCTAAAAAATAAGACAACTCTGCCATCATGCTCATCTCAAACTCATGTGTCATGTAATCCGAAAAATATTTCAAAAGATGATCAGCAGTGGATCCAAACACAATATCATCAACATAAATCTGAGCAACAAGCATATGAGACTTAGTATGCTTCACAAATAAAGTCTTGTCCACACTACCTCTTTGAAAATCATTATCAAGAAGAAAGGTACTAAGTCTATCATATCAAGCCCGAGGGGCTTGTTTCAACCCATACAAAGCCTTGTCTAACTTGTAGACATGGTTTGGACATTTAGGGTCCTCAAACTTTTTTGGTTGCTCAGCATAAGCCTCTTCTTTTAAGTACCCATTCAGAAAGGCACTTCCATATCCATTTGAAACAATTTGAAGCCAAGAAAGCATGCAATACCAAGTAAAATATGAATAGATTCGAGACGTGCAATTGGGGCAAACATCTCATCATAGTTAACAGCCTCTACTTGAGTATAGCCTTGAGCAACCAACCTAGCTTTATTTCTAGCTACAATACCATTCTCTTCAGATTTATTCTTAAAGATCCACTTGGTACCTATCACATTCATGTCTCTAGGTCTGAGGACAAGAGTCCAGACATTATTACGTTCAAATTGACCTAATTCTTCATGTATAGCATTGACCCAACTATCATCTAGTAAGGCCTCTTTTATTTTCTTAGGTTCAATTATTGAAACATAACACATATGAGATACTTCCTCCCGAATTTGTCTTCGGGTTTTCATTCCATCTAAGACACTTCCAATCACCTGTTGAGCCGGATGATTCAATTTTAGCCTTGCTGATGGTTTGAACTCTGGACTTGTGGTGACATAGGCATCAGAAGTGGTGTCTCTCTGCGCACTCTTTGGACTCTGACTTACCTTAGAAGTTAGTGATGGCTCACCTTCTTGTGCTTGGACCTCAGCTTCTCTTTTACTTTGTAGTTCAATATCTAGGATTGGAGACTCACCATTTTCTTCCTCATTTATGGCTGAAGTAGGAGATCCTGTGTCATCTATAACCACATTGACCGATTCCATTAAAGATAAAGTTTGCAGGTTATAGACACAAAAAGCTCTACTAGTGGTTGAATACTCTAGAAAAATACCTTCATCACTTCAGGCGTCAAATTTTCCCAAAGGCTCTCTATCTTTGAAAATATAACAAGTACTCCCAAAAGTTTTGAAGTATTTTACATTAGGTTTCAATCCCTTCCACAATTCATATGGAGTTTGTAAAGTGCAGGGCCTTAAATACACACGATTCATAACATAAACGGTGGTATTTAAGGCTTCAACCCAAAACATTAGAGGAACTTTCTTACTCAGGAGCATGACTCTAGCCATCTCTTGAACAACCATGTTCTTCCTCTCAACAACTTCATTTTGTTGTGGAGTAATCGGAGTAAAAAATTCATGCTTAATTCCATGCATATCACAAAAATCAGAAAACGAACTATTTTCAAACTCACGACCATGATTAGTTTGGATTCTTATGATATGCCCAATACAAGCACCCTGTTCATTTTGGAGTTTGTAAAGCGCAGGGCCTTAAATACACACGATTCATAACATAAACGGTGGTATTTAAGGCTTCAGCCCAAAACATTAGAGGAACTTTCTTACTCAGGAGCATGACTCTAGCCATCTCTTGAACAACCGTGTTCTTCCTCTCAACAACTTCATTTTGTTGTGGAGTAATCGGAGTAAAAAATTCATGCTTAATTCCATGCATATCACAAAAATCAGAAAACGAACTATTTTCAAACTCACGACCATGATTAGTTTGGATTCTTATGATATGCCCAATACAAGCACCCTGTTCATTTTGGATTTTAAGGACTATGGCCTGGAAAACATCAAACGTATCAGATTTCTCTTAAAAAATTTACCTATGAAAAACGAGTAAAATCATCAACGGTTAAAAAAATATATCTTTTACCTCCAATGCTTTCAGTGCGTGTGGGTCCCATAAGATCCATATGAACCAATTCAAGAGGATGTTTGGTTATGAAGCTGTTCACCTTTTTATGAGGGGCACGGGTTTGCTTCCCAAGTTGGCATGGTCCACACACATGGTTCATATTCTTACCCAGTTTAGGTACTCCTCTCACAAGCTCTTTGTTGGCTATCTTAGTTAGGTCTTTGAAATTCATGTGACCTAATCTTTGATGCTACATATCAATATTACTTATGATGGCTGAGTGGCAAGTGAGATCATTAGTGGTAACAATTCCATAGCAGTTATCAGATGTACGAACCCTATGCATGACAATATTTCCCTTTTTATCTAAAATTTCACATATATTTTTTTTGAAAATAATACTTCATGGTGGGAATCACACATTTGACTGATGCTCAAAAGATTTGCTTTAAGGCCATTAATAAGTAATGTATTTTCGAGCTTGGAAAGACCAGCCACACTTATAGAGCCCTTACCAATGGCTCTAGAAGTGCCACCATCTCCAAAGGTAACAATTCCTCCTTCATATTTTTCAAGGGAGGTGAAGTAAGATTTGTCACCTGACATGTGACGAGAGCACCTACTATCAAGGTACCACATGTGTGAGTCACGTGCTTTTAGAGCAGTGTGAACAACAAAACAAGTCAAGTCACCCTTTCTCACTCATATCTTTTTGGTCTTAATGAAATCAGGACTGGCAGTCTTGGTAAATGTCATAGCGTTGTGAACACCCTCATGAATCTTGGTGTTCCGCCTAGACATGTAAGGTTGTCTCCTAACCCAAAAAGCATTAGAATTTCTACCATTTTGAGACACCTTACCAAACAACTCAAAGCAATAAGGATGAATGTGGCCACACCTACCACAATGATGACAAACAAAAATAGGTTTTACCTCAATTTTGTTGATCTTACCCCCATTCGGCAGATGAAGAGAGAGATCACCCTATTTCACCTTCAGCTTTCCCTTTGTTTGAGTCTTTAGGTCATATGATGTAGAGGCCTGTCCCTTGTGAACTGTCGCATTGCTATAGCCTAGACCACTTTTGTCACAACCCATTTATTGAGACCCAAGGATGTTTTCTAATGTCTTGGAACTTTTGTTCCACATGTCAATTGTGGCTCTAGCATCTCTGAGTTCTTTATCTTTTTGACCAACCATCTATTCCAATGTAGCTTGTGACATCTCAAGGTTTTCAATCTTCTTTTCATATGTGGCATATATTTTTAGAAGTTCATTCCTTTCGGTCTCACAAGATAGAAGTTTCCCACATAGGTCTTACCTGTCATTAGAGATCTTGATGACATTCTGCTTTGTTGTTGCAATTTCTCTTTTTAGCTTGACATTCTCGTTTTTACATGCTTTGAGCTTGAGAGTGAGTATGTCATTTATCTTGGACAAATTCACAGATTCATCGTAAAGCTTTTCATAAGCTTGTTGTAGGTCATCACCATCAATCTCATCATTATCTTCTGAGGTCTTATCATCTTCTTTTTGCTCATTTTTCTCATAGACCTCATCTAGTCAAGCAACTAAGGCATGAAAATTGATAGATGGTGGTGAAGATGACTCTCCTCTTTCATGAAATTGACTCAGAATGTCCCATGCATCTTTGGCCTTTGTGTAGTGAGCAATCCGTTGCTATTTTTCGTCAGAAATTACTTCACAAATGGTAGTCAGAACTCTTTGATTACTCGGATTGTCAGCGCTTTCAACATCCTCTTTAATGGCTTGCCAGCCCTCAGGGTCGTAAGCTCTTAGAAACATCCTCATTCTGATCTTTCAGGACAAGTAACTATTCCCATCAAAGATAGGAGCACGGTGCAGATTCTGACCACGAGCAAATTTCATTGGCTTTGGAGAAGGTTGAGTGATAGTAGACCAGAATGCCATGTAAGTACTATCTCCGTCTTCACCGGATTCGGTTTCTTCAGGTTCTTGCTCTGACCTGCTTTCATCATCCCAAGTCACTATATAGACTTTCTTCCGGTTCTTTTTCGATGGACATTCAAGAGCAATATGTCCAAACCCTTGACATTCATAACACTTGACCCTTTGTTTGTTCACAGTCTTCTTTTCAGTTTTAGGAGCAATTTTTGATGGGAAAATTTGGGGTTTTTCATTACTCTTATCTTTTGAAATAGTGTCCTTGAAATTAGGCTTCTTTTTCTTTAAATTTTTTTTGAACTGTTTAGTAAACATAGCTGCCATCTCAAACTTTAGATCAAACTCAATCTCAGAGGTTTTTGCAGTCTCATGCGCACTAGTGAAAGCCACATTATCTTTTTATTTTTTCTTAGAAATCTGGTGGGCTTCATAAGTCTGTAAGTTTCCAACCAACTGGTCAAGTTTGAGGATATCAATATCTTGAACCTCATTAATAGTTGTAACTTTTGATTGGAACCTCTCGGGTAAAGACCTCAAAATTTTCCCAACAACCTTAGCTTTAGGGATTTTTTCACTGAGTGTGAAACAGGAATTCACGATGTCACTAAGTTTAACATAAAAATTATCAAACGTTTCATCATCACGCATAAAAAGAGTTTCAAAAGTGGAGGTGAGATGTTGAAGTTTTGACCTTTTAACAAAAATAATTCCCTCGTGAATAGTTTCAAGAATACCCCAAACCTCTTTTGCTACCTCACAAGTACAAATACGTTGAAACTTTTCTGGTGTGACGGAGCAAAAGAGGGAGTTGAGAGCCTTACTGTCCCAACTCAAATTTTGATAATCGAATGTGTCCCATTTATCAAGAGGTTTGGGAATATCAACACCATCAATGGTGACAATAGGTTCACTCTACCCATAGATCATATAGTGCCAAATTTTTTCATCGATAGATTTTAAAAACGTTCTCATACGAGCTTTCCAATAAGAATAGTTTGTACCATCAAGTAACGGAGGTCTATGGGTCGAGTTACCTTCACGAATTGAATCAATATCACCAATCACACAAAATCAATTTCCTATAGTTTTGATAAAAACAAAGAGTGACCTACTTTGATATCAATTGAAAAACCTAAGTGATTCGTGATTAGATCAAGAATTAGTTGTACCACTTCCCAAACAATTAAAACTAACAATTTAAATCATCAAGCACGTACGAAAGTGATTTAGATTATTGTTTTAGAAACAATAAATAGACAAAATGATTTTTTACGTGGAAAAAATCACTATTAGAGCACCTCCAATTGTGATTAAAAAACCATGGGCGAAATGCCACAAATCAATCCACTACTAAAGAAAGAAATATTACAAATATACCAAATAAATTACCCAAACGCTGTCAATTTGTCTTCAACAATCTGTATATCTTTCACCGCAACCTTCATCTCAGAATTGATCAGATTGATATTGAATCCACAACATTCATTGTCGAATCAACAACTGTGCACAGCATCAAACTCCTTCGGCTCCTCTGTGCTTGAATCTTCGGATTCTACCGAAGGACACTCTTAAAGATGAACAATCAAACTCCTTAATATGTGCTTATCAAAACGTGAGCTTAATACTCAATCAAACATTAAGGAAAACTAGCAAAAAATAGCCCCAAAAGAAAACCCTAAAACCCTTAAAGAAGATCTCAAAAACGTACCCTAGATTTGGAGCAACCTGCAGTTTTATAGCTGCTAAAATCGCGAAGTCCGCTCGAGCGTAGGAATGGACACTCGAGCAAGGACACCAAAAGGCGTGTTCCAAACCAGGATTCACGCTTGAGCGTAAGAACTTACGCTCGAGCGTAAAATCACACCATGCATTATTTTTTGTAGAACAAGCCAAGGTACTGCGATGGTGTAAACTTTGCTCGAGCGCCATGTTCCCCACTCGAGCGGGAAGACCAAAAACATAAGAAAATAACAACTCAATGAAACCCAAGTTTGTTCACAGAATTGACAATAAGTAGGGTCCTAATAGTCTTGAAGACAATTTTCAGTATTGATAGAACGGGATATGCATCCCTTTTAAATGGTTGTATCAGATATTGAAATTGCAAAGAGAAAACTTCGGTGAAACGAAATTGATGCATGGTAAAGACAAGCCAGCCCCCAGAATGAAGCAACTGAAAATAAACATAACT